AGCTTGCACACCCTGCCCGTACCATCCTCATACCCAGGTGGCTGCGTCATGAACACCTCCTCCTCTAAAATCCCATTGAGGAATGCCGTTGATATATCCATCTGGATAATGAACTTCCCACCAACGGCTGCATCTGCCAACAAGACACGAAGGGTAGGGGGTTTGGCAGTGGGAGCAAAGATCTCATTGAAGTCCCGCTTCTCCTTCTGCATAAACCCCTTAGCCACCAACCTACTCTTGTAGATGGTGACCTGCCCCTTGTCGTCAGTCTTGATCCTTAGCACCCACTTGCATTGTACCGCTTTCTTTCCCTCAGGCAGCACCACTAGTTCCCAAGTCCCATTCTCCAGCAGGCTCTGGTACTCAGCATCCCTGGAAGCTAGCCATTTGTCCCTATCTGGTCCAGCTAATGCCTCCTCCATGCTAGCTGGTTCCTCTGGTGCAGGGGCAAGAAAACAGTACGCAGGTTGATCCTCCTCATCCGGGTCATAGCCATGCGGTAGAATCAGCAATGCCTCCTCGGTCCCAAGCTGCTGCTCCGCTACATCAGCTCCTGCAGTCAGCTTCTTAGTAGCCATACGGGTACGTCCTGGCCTGGAGACGGGTGTCTCCCATCCCTTCATAACGACACCCTTCGGCTTCTTAGTTTTCCCCTGCTGCTGCTCTCCTCCCTCGGATCCAGCAGCTCCACTAGTGCTACCGCTAATCTCCACACCATCACCTCCACCAGCAGGTGCCTCCTGCACCTTCTCTTTATCACCACCCTCTGCAGCTGCCTCCTCTCCCTCCTCCCACACACTAGGAGTCAGGTCCAGCTGCATGGTAATCTGCTCCATCTGCTGGGACACCCTGGCCTCCGGCTGTTTCTCCCAGCTCCCATACATCATGCCCTCAACAAACTTCACATCCCTGCTGTCAAACAACACACCCTTGGAAGGCTCCCACAGCAGCCATCCCTTGCTTTCAGCAGCCAGCCCCAAATGTACACACCAGATTGCACTCGCCCCCAACTTACTGCGGTAGGTCTTGGGAACGTGGGCGACTGCCATGCAACCGAACACCCTCAGCATGTCCACCGGCGGCTTCCTCCCAAGCCACCTCTCCAACGGCACCCACGAGTCATCCCCAACCTTTGTGAGTACCCTGTTCCTAGCGACGGTAGCGTGCCGAACAGCATGGGGCCACATCAAGTTGCCCAGCCCAGATTCTATGAGCAGCGCCCTAGCTGTCTCCAGAATTGTCCGGTTCGCCCGTTCTGCTACACCGTTGGACTGTGGGGTGTAAGCCGTGGTCAGCTCCCTCTGGATGCCCTGCTTCTTGAGCCAGGCCGTCATCTCAGCTCCAAGGAACTCACCACCCCGATCTGTCCTAATCCGCTTCACCACACACTCCGCTTGTTTCTCCACGAACGGCAGCCAATCGTCCCGAATCGTGGAGGCGGCGTGATCTTTCTGCTTCAGCGGATACGCCCACATTAGCCTGCTCCAGTCATCCACTATGGTTAGGAAGTACCGCTCCCCCTTGTGCCCTTGCACCGGCAGCGGCCCCACCAAGTCCATGTGGACCAGCTCCAACGGCTTTTTGCTCCTGCCAGCCACACTATGGAAGGGGAAACGGGTGAACTTTGAAAGGAGGCAAATTTCACAGTTATCATCGGGTGGTTGTCCGTTCAGCTTTAAGCCCTTAACGGCTCCATCCTTCTCCAGCTGCTTCAGCAAAGGCATTGCCACATGCCCCAAACGTCGGTGTGCAGTTGCCCAATCTGTCTCCCCAGATCTGGCCGACACTTTCACACCAACCCCTCCAACGGCGTTGCACTCCCCCTGGGATGCAGACCCCTCTCCAGCCTGCCCCCCACCGTGCCACGCCAGCGCCGGCAGCTGCCACATAGATCTGTACACGTCCTTGCTCTCGTGCAGATCCCAAAGCACCCGATTGCCCAGCTTCCCCTTATAAGTGCGAGCCCCATCCGTGTTGGTGTTCACCCCAGCCTTGCCAAGCTTACGGAGGGAGATGAGGTTGGCCTTCAGGTCGGGGACGAGGAGAACGTCGTGCAGCACCACCGGCTTGCCATCCGCTCCCTTAAATGCAGCTCGTCCCGCACCAGCCACCTTCAACATGTGTCCAGAGGCAGAGCACACCTCATTAATCGGTGCAGCGCGTACGTCGTCCAGCAGGTCCTTGCGCGGCGTCATTGTCCAAGCAGCGCCTGTGTCCAACACCCAATAGTCCAGGGGGTGCAGCTCTGCTCCAGCCTTAGCAGATGCGTCTCCTTGCTCCCCCTTGTCTCCCATATGGAAGAATTGGCCCGCGGTGCGCTCCTTCTTCTTCTCCGCACCGCCGTTGCCCTTCGGGTTGTTGTCGGACGAATCAGCGACCATGTTGGCGCCGTTTTTCTGGTTCCTCCGCGCGCCGCCATCCTGGTGACGATTCTGGGGGGTCCATCCATCGGGTTTCTTATAGCACAAAAACCAGGGGTGCCCTTCCTTCTCACAATACCAGCAACTCCCTTTCATTTTGCCACCAGCACCCGACTTGCCCCCACGTCCAGATTTCGCACCGCGACCCCAACCGGTACCTCCTTGTTGGTCGTTGGAGTCGTCGTCTTTCTTTGCACCGCGTCCAGCACCACCGAAGCCACGTCCTCTGCCACGTCGGCTCCCTTGCATCCCGTAGCCGCTGCTGCCGCCGTCTCCACCCCTCAGTTGACGGCGACGGAAGTCCTCCTCTAGAATCTTTGTCCGCACCCACTCGAGTGTCCACGAGCTCTGGTTCTGCGGCAGGCTCAATCCGCTCGTGAATTGAAGCCACGATTCCGGCAGCAGCGAGAGCATCTTCAGGCACTTGGTCTGCTCTGGGTAGGTGATTCCCGCGATCGCCAACTTCGCGTAGAGGTCGCGCAATTTGTCCAGGACAGGTTGCACTGGCTCTCCCTCGCTCAGGCGCAACGCGGACAGCTCCCTCTCCAGCATCAATGTTGCAACAACGGAGGTCGGGGCGTGCAGCTCCTTCAACACGGTCCACGCCTTCGGACCGCACTCAACCTCCGGCAGCAGGTGCATGACGTGGTGACGCTGGTTCAGCTCCAAACTCTGCGACATCAAGTAGTAGCCAGCCGAGGCGCGCTCGTCCCAATCTTCCTGAAGGGCGGGGTCACTCGGTCTAGGCTCCTCCCCAATCATTAGTTTCAGCAATCCGATTTGACGGAAATAAAGTTGCATTTTCCAGGCCCAATCATCATAGCCCTCACCATTGAACTTCTCGACGGTGAAGTTTTTCAGCACCTCCTTGATCAGCGAGCCCTGGCTTGTTCGCGCTCCCCTTGGCGCAGAAACACCAGAATCATGGCTGCCGCTACGATCTTGGGCTGAAGATTCACCAGCTACCGCCGAGGTGTTGCCCGCCATAGCTACCTATATCGAGGATCACTATAACGCAGCTCTGATACCAGCTTGTTGGTGTAAGGGCCTAATAAACTCAAGCTATTAAGACTTTATCACACTTAAAACCTCTCCTCGGGGTCACCTCCAAGGGTCCTTGGGTGCCTGGTACAAGACCAGCCCCTATCCTCGGGTCCGAGTTTGTAGAGAGAGGAATCAAGAGGGACTTAGTCAAAACAGCAAGAGTACCTTGAACGTCGCGCAGCGTATCGTGCAGACCGTCGATCGGATTAAGCTGAGAATTTCCTATATCGAAGCTCACTCTAAGAGCTTTAAAATAAGCCAAGTTGCCTCGCGAAAAGTTCTGCCATTACGAAGTTATGGCTCGGACAGCGTTAGCCTAGCGTTGGAGTGCTAGCGTACTAGCGTTGACTCGGGTAGCATTCCGCCGTCGCACCGCGTAGACAAGAAATTCCAGCAAGGAAGGAATTCGCTTGAATCAATTTCACTATATTCAGGTACAAACAGAGAAGGAATAAATAGCTCTAGCTAGCAAGGACCTTGGGAATCAACCTGGGAACAACCAGGGATGATCCCAAATAATTCCAAGCAACAGAACCAACATGGCTGGACAAAATAGCAGGTGATAGGTTGGTGAACAACCTCTGGTTCTGTTTTTCCAACCTGGGAAAACAACAACCAGGTTCAGGTCCTAAAAACAGAACCTGTTTTGTCTTTGCCCAACCAGCCAAATGCTGGTTCCGCTGGTTTCCCCTGGCCCTGTAGCATGCAGATACAGACAAACAACATCCAACCTTCACCTAAATTGTACCCCTATAGTGCCTGCCCTGCTACACTATAGTCAACCAAACAAAACAGTACAATTTCGAGTTGGATAGAACTGAATCTGCGCAATCAAGTAAGTTGAACCGCAAAGCTTCCATCTTGGGTTCCTTTGCGAGCTCGTCCTTTCTGCTTGTACTGTTCATAGCGCGTACAATGTTATGCCGAAGCGCACATTTTGCGAGTACCTGCAAATGCTTCAAGCGAAAATTGCGAAAGCAAACAAACACACAAACATACCATTCACACGCAAATGCATTCGCACACGCATACTCGTACAAACAGACGGCAGGATGTCGTGCAATGTGAATTTGCACCCAACAGTCCAGTCGCTGCGTCCTGCTCCTCTCGGTCCCTCACGCACCGGACCGTCTTGTGGCATCACTGCCTTGGCCACCCGTCGATCCCCCGCCTCCGCGGGATGGCCACTCACGGGCTTGTTACTGGTCCCCCACGCACCTTTTTTGTCGCTCCCCACCTCCCCTGCTCCCCCTTGCGCTCCTTGCATCGCCGGCCGCTTACGCACCACTCCCCACTCCTCTTCCCTTCGTCCGGCCACTGCTCCCTTTGAGACCCTCCACTTGGACGTCTGGGGCCCTGCCCCGACGCAGGGTTCTGGGAGGGAGCGTTACTTTGTGGTGGTCGTCGACAACTTCTCCAGGTACCCCACAGTGTTCCCTCTCGCGAAGAAGCCCGAGGTGTCTGCCACGCTGATCAGGTGGCTTCTAGCCACTGAGGGCACTCGTGGTCGTCGCGTCAGTTGTCTACACTTTGACCATGGGGGCGAGTTTTGCTCCGGCGTTCTTGCCGGATTCTGCAGCGAACAGGGCATCGTATAGTCCTGGACACTTCTGGAGTCCCCACAGCAGAATGGGGTTGCTGAGCGCCGCATTGGCTTGGTCACGGACATTGCTCGCACGTCCATGATCCATGCCCATGCGCCCAATTTTCTGTGGCCCTACGCGATTCGCTACAGTGCACATCTGCTGAACCTCCAGCCGCGTGTCTCACCGCCCGAGGCTTCACCGACCAGTCTTTGGACCGGATCCCCTGGTGTTGGGTCGGTCTTTCGTGTCTGGGGCTGCCTTGCGCTTGTTCGTGACACCTCGGCGGACAAGCTCTCGGCACGCGCCGTCCCCTGTGTCTTCCTTGGTTTCCCTGTGGACTCTGCCAACAGGTCCTTTAACCACCCTTCCCTCCACCAGTTCCTAGACTCCCGTGACGTCCGGTTTGACGAGTCTGTGTCCTACTATTCCCGGTACCCCTGTCAAGGTCTCCCGGTACCCCCTCCCCCCCTCTTCCTCGCACCCTCTCCTCCTCCTGCTCCCGCTCCTCCCTGGTCATGCTCCGTCCGGTGTGTCCCACGCTACCCCTCTACCCTCAGTCGCGCGTCAGGTAGCGTCGCCCTCCCCGCAGTCCTCCTCACAGTCCCCTCAGCAGCCTTCGGCACTTCCGCGACAAGTTCCTGTGGACTCGGTTGGTGTTGGAGCTGGAGGTGCGGCTGCTGGCGGTGCCCGATCTGGGGGTGCTCGTTCAAGGGGTGCTGAAGCTGGAGGTGCTGGCGCAGGTGGCGCTAGCTCTGGGGGTGCTGGAGCTGGAGGTGCTGGCACTGGAGGTGCTAGTTCTGGGGGTGCTGGAGTTGGAGGTGCTGGCATTGGAGGTGCTAGTTCTGGGAGTGCCGGTGCTGGAGGCGCTGGCACTGGGGGTGCTGGGGCTGGGGGTGCTAGTGCTGGAGGCGCTGGCATTGGAGGTGCTGGTTTGGAGGAGCCTGGAGCTGGAGTGTGAGGATCTAGGATCGAGCTCAGAAAAGAGAGTTTGAATTGAATGATCCACCTGTGTACAACACGAGGCTATATATTGTCTCGACACAAGGCCAGTTACCCAGGTGTTACGCGAATGTTCTGAGGGTCGCGAAGCGTCCCGAACAGAACCTTCCCGAACTCAGTAGAAAGCAATTCGGTGGCAACCGAAAAGGCTTGAGTTCGGTACACGTAACCTGGTTCGGTGCAATAATGACAATGAAATATAGGAATGCACCTAACCTAGGAAATCAAGCATATCTATGCTTCACAAATAAAACCCAAGCCAGTAATAGCATAACAAAGTCTAGGCAAGCTAGCAAAGCCAGCATAAGCCGTCATACTCTCACACGTCTCCCCCTCAAAGCTGGGTGGCGTGAGATGTTAGAAGGAAATGCTGCCATGAGCAACAAAATGTCTGCGCTGGGATTCGAACTCGTGACCTTCAAATCTGTCCTGAAAGTATCTCAGGACAGATTCAGGATAGTTTCTGCTAAGGCGCTGGTTATGGTGCACACGAGTTTTGAACTAGAGACCTTTCGATTCAAGTGTCCCGAAAATGTCTTGTTATGACAGATTGGGGACAGTTTGGGGACAGATTGAGGACAGTTTGGCGAAATCGATCTCGGGTCGCGTTTGGTTTGAAACTCGGCAGCGAAGTGTCGAAGTCAACGGAATTTGCACGGGAGTTATAGTCGGTGGTCGACGGGATTCTTGTCGCGGAAATTCTCGTCTACGGAATTCCAGTAAATGGAATGTCAGATTATAATGCTTGTCTAGCCTGCAGTGGGGTACTCTGTAGTGAGTACGGCCCCTTAAGGTTTCCTATTTGTATCCCAACTGTTGCTAGTCAAACCATCCTTTGCTAATTTCTCTCTTGCCTAGTTAGGTAAACCCTAGCTATGGCTCCTGCTTATGCCTACTATTGTGACATGGTATCATAGGGCGGCATGTCTGCCGCCTTCCTGTGCATGGGCCCACCACCTGCTTCCGCTGCCGTACTGTCCGCCGCGCGCCCCGTGGTGCGCGGCGCCGAAATTAGGGTTTCTGCCCGCCGCGCGCTCGGGGCGCGTGGCGGTTTACCCTTCCGTGGCGCGCGTCGTGGTGCCGTTGAGGGGCATGCGCGGTCCCCTCCCGTCGCCCGTCGAGACGCTCTCGGGGGCCCGCGCGGCCTCCCCTCCCGTCGCCCGTCGAGGCGCTCTCGGGGGCCCGCGCGGCCTCCCCTCCCGTCGCCCGTCGTGGCGACCATGGGGGCCCGCGCGCGGTCCCCTTCCGTCGCCCGTCGAGGCGCTCTCGGGGACCCGCGCGGCCTCCCCTCCCGTCGCCCATCGTGGCGACCATGGGGGCCCGCGCGCGGTCCTTTTCCGTCGCCCGTCGGGGCGCTCCCGGGGGCCTGCGCGGCTTCCCCTCCCGTCGCCCGTCGTGGCGACCGCGGGGGCCCGCGCGTGGTCCCCTCCCGTCGCCCGTTGAGGCGCTCTCGGGGGCCCGCGCGGCTCCCTTTGTCGTCGCCCGTCGGGGCGCCCTGGGGGCCGCGCTCCTCCCCCCTCCCTCCTACCTTTCACCTGCAGTGGCCGCCCCTAGAGCAGCCCGCACCTGCAGCAGCCGCCCCTGGAGCAGCCCGCACCTGCAGCAGCCGCCCCTGGAGCAGCCTGTTGGTGTAAGGGCCTAATAAACTCAAGCTATTAAGACTTTATCACACTTAAAACCTCTCCTCGGGGTCACCTCCAAGGGTCCTTGGGTGCCTGGTACAAGACCAGCCCCTATCCTCGGGTCCGAGTTTGTAGAGAGAGGGATCAAGAGGGACTTAGTCAAAACAGCAAGAGTACCTTGAACGTCGCGCAGCGTATCGTGCACACCGTCGATCGGATTAAGCTGAGAATTTCCTATATCGAAGCTCACTCTAAGAGCTTTAAAATAAGCCAAGTTGCCTCGCGAAAAGTTCTGCCATTACGAAGTTATGGCTCGGACAGCGTTAGCCTAGCGTTGAAGTGCTAGCGTACTAGCGTTGACTCGGGTAGCATTCCGCCGTCGCACCGCGTAGAAAAGAAATTCCAGCAAGGAAGGAATTCGCTTGAATCAATTTCACTATATTCAGGTACAAACAGAGAAGGAATAAATAGCTCTAGCTAGCAAGGACCTTGGGAATCAACCTGGGAACAACCAGGTTCAGGTCCTAAAAACAGAACCTGTTTTGTCTTTGCCCAACCAGCCAAATGCTGGTTCCGCTGGTTTCCCCTGGCCCTGTAGCATGCAGATACAGACAAACAACATCCAACCTTCACCTAAATTGTACCCCTATAGTGCCTGCCCTGCTACACTATAGTCAACCAAACAAAACAGTACAATTTCGAGTTGGATAGAACTGAATCTGCGCAATCATGTAAGTTGAACCGCAAAGCTTCCATCTTGGGTTCCTTTGCGAGCTCGTCCTTTCTGCTTCTACTGTTCATAGCGCGTACAATGTTATGCCGAAGCGCACATTTTGCGAGTACCTGCAAATGCTTCAAGCGAAAATTGCGAAAGCAAACAAACACACAAACATACCATTCACACGCAAATGCATTCGCACACGCATACTCGTACAAACAGACGGCAGGATGTCGTGCAATGTGAATTTGCACCCAACACACTCCCCCTCAGCCTGCCGGCTGCATCCCCATCATTCCATACTAGTTCATGCTCATTCCACTCATGCGCACACAACGCCAATGAGGCTCATCCGCAAGCCTCTTGGTGAGGAAGTCTGCTGGCTGCTGGTGAGTCTTGATGTAGATCGGATTCACCGTCCCCCTCTTCACCTCCTTACGCAGCCAGTGCCACTTGATACGCATGTGCTTATTCAGCCCATGAAGCACAGCGTTCCTGGCCATCCCAAGAGCTCCCTTGCTATCACAAAACAGCGGCGTAGCAACCTTTTGCTCCTGGCCAATCTCCTCCAACAGCCTCCTCAGCCAAATCACCTCCTTCACCCCATGGAACATCGCCATGTACTCTGATTCCACGGAAGAGAGTGCTGTCTCCGTCTGCTTCTTTGACCTCCAACTAACCGGTCCTCCCCCAACTACGCAGATGTATCCTCCCACAGATGAGGAATCCTCCTTCTCAGAGGCCCACGTAGCATCAGTAAAGCAAGTAAGAAAAAGCTTGCCTTCTCCAAGCCTCTCCCCCTTCTCTTTCAGCACCTCAACCCCTTTCTGCTTCACCTGTGCAGATGCGGAGTATTGAACTCCAATGCTTGGGTGAGAGTTCAGATACTTCACCACACGCTCAGCTGCATCCACCTGCTCCTCTGATGGATTCTGCACTACCCTAGCCAGCTGCCCAACCGAGAAAGAGATGTCGGGTCTCGTGTGAACTGCTGCATACAAGAGGCTGCCCACCAAGGACTGAAATTGCTGCTGCTCCTCGGCTTCAACCCCTTCATCCTCTGCAGCTTTCACAAGCTTGAATTCTGCTGGCAGGGGAGTTGCAACCTTGCGCTCATTCTCAATTCCGTACTTCTCCCCAAGCTCCTTGATGAACTTCTCCTGGTGCAGCTTCAACCACCTGTGATCCAGATCCCTCTCCACGTGCATCCCGAGGTAGTACTGTACCTCCCCAAGGTTCTTGCACTTGAAGTTCTCCATCAGCTGCTGCTGCACCTTCTGGATCTCCTTCATGCTGCTGCTAAAGAGAAGAATGTCGTCCACATAGACCAGAAACAGCACCAGCTTCTCCCCCTCCCCCTTGAGAAAGAGGCTCTCATCACAGCTGCTGGTCCTGAATCCCATCTCCTCTAAAACAGCTGCCAACTTCTGGTACCAGCAGCGTGGCGCCTGCTTCAAGCCGTAGATGGACTTTTTCAGCTTGCACACCCTGCCCGTACCATCCTCATACCCAGGTGGCTGCGTCATGAACACCTCCTCCTCTAAAATCCCGTTGAGAAATGCCGTTGATATGTCCATCTGGATAATGAACTTCCCACTAACGGCTGCATCTGCCAACAAGACACGAAGGGTAGGGGGTTTGGCAGTGGGAGCAAAGATCTCATTGAAGTCCCGCTTCTCCTTCTGCATAAACCCCTTAGCCACCAACCTACTCTTGTAGATGGTGACCTGCCCCTTGTCGTCAGTCTTGATCCTTAGCACCCACTTGCATTGTACCGCTTTCTTTCCCTCAGGCAGCACCACTAGTTCCCAAGTCCCATTCTCCAGCAGGCTCTGGTACTCAGCATCCCTAGAAGCTAGCCATTTGTCCCTATCTGGTCCAGCTAATGCCTCCTCCATGCTAGCTGGTTCCTCTGGTGCAGGGGCAAGAAAACAGTACGCAGGTTGATCCTCCTCATCCGGGTCATAGCCATGCGGTAGAATCAGCAATGCCTCCTCGGTCCCAAGCTGCTGCTCCGCTACATCAGCTCCTGCAGTCAGCTTCTTAGTAGCCATACGGGTACGTCCTGGCCTGGAGACGGGTGTCTCCCATCCCTTCATAACGACACCCTTCGGCTTCTTAGTTTTCCCCTGCTGCTGCTCTCCTCCCTCGGATCCAGCAGCTCCACTAGTGCTACCGCTAATCTCCACACCATCACCTCCACCAGCAGGTGCCTCCTGCACCTTCTCTTTATCACCACCCTCTGCAGCTGACTCCTCTCCCTCCTCCCACACACTAGGAGTCAGGTCCAGCTGCATGGTGATCTGCTCCATCTGCTGGGACACCCTGGCCTCCGGCTGTTTCTCCCAGCTCCCATACATCATGCCCTCAACAAACTTCACATCCCTGCTGTCAAACAACACACCCTTGGAAGGCTCCCACAGCAGCCATCCCTTGCTCTCAGCAGCCAGCCCCAAATGCACACACCAGATTGCACTCGCCCCCAACTTACTGCGGTAGGTCTTGGGAACGTGGGCGACTGCCATGCAACCGAACACCCTCAGCATGTCCACCGGCGGCTTCCTCCCAAGCCACCTCTCCAACGGCACCCACGAGTCATCCCCAACCTTTGTGAGTACCCTGTTCCTAGCGACGGTAGCGTGCCGAACAGCAT